AACGGCTGATTCATTCAGGAATTAAGTAAATGGCTCTCTTTATGAATGAGTCTTTGAATCATTGGTTCACACGATTCGTTCAAAACACAGATTCATTCAGAAACTAAACGCCGCTGTGTTCGAAAACGCGCAACAATTCTGTTACGGCTTTAAAGGTAATTTGTTCTCTGCAAAATTGAGCAAAAACATATTGTGTTTAAAGTATAACACAATATCATCTTATTTACTGAACTGTTGTATAAAATCACATTCAAACTTGTGATATTCGGGACAAAGTCATCACTGGTGTGATATTGCTCTCGTAAATATGAGACAAAAACTCATATAGGGGCATTTTTTGCACCAATATCTTGAATTTTAGGGCATAAGTGCATTAATGGAATTGTTGCCCTGCAATCATAACAGTCAAGTTCAACTATATGAAATTATGAAATGGAAGATGACGTACAGGTCTGGGGGCGGGGCCAGTGCATTAACTGCATTCAAATATTTTAATCGTGTTATTTTTTCATAGCTAATTAAGTTAACATCCCTAATATATATATATATATATATATATACACTTTGAGAAGCTTTTGATTTGATTTGATTCATGGACTCTGCAGTTTTTAATCATACTGCATTATTTAACTGTTCCCCGAAAAAAACAAGATAAATGTAGCATCTTAATTTTTGTAAGAGTAACAAAGGGGGCGGGGCTTAGTCAATTTGCATATTACTACGAAGTGCCTTCTATTTATGAAATCATATTTATTTACGATTATATTCATATAATGATTTGTCAATGGTGTTTAAGTGGTCTCTGCTATTTTCATAAGAATAATGTGTATTTATTATGGCAATGGTTATCATACTTAGCCTTTAGCATTGCATCTAAATCCATAAATAATATATTTCTGCCTCGTACTGTGATCTAAATCCCATCGGATTGGAATCAGAAGTTATTTCAGACGCTCGCTGGTGTCTGAAAGTGAGTTCTGAGCTTTTAAAGGTCCCGTTTTAAATGTTTGCCCGACACTGTATATACAGTCAAACCAAAATGTATTCCGACACCTTCAACATTTCTCACATCATTTGCTAGAGTTTATAAAATGGTAACAAAATATGACAAGAACTCAAGAGTTAAACTGTGTCAGAACAAATTCATCTTGATAATGTCAGATAACTTTGATAGAAATGTATGTAATGAATTAGGTTGAATAGCTGTCAGCTGTTAAATTTAAGTACACAATTAGATAATAACAATTTAGGTCAACCAATTACATTTACATACATTTATATTTAGTCATTTAGCAGACCAAGCAATGCTTAGTGTAAAAAGGTCGCATTTGCAATTAAATAAAAATACTTAAAAGGGGTCATATGATGCGATTTCAAGTTTTCCTTTCTCTTTGGAGTGTTACAAGCTGATTGTGCATAGATAAGATCCCTGAAGTTGCAAAGACTAAAGTCTCAATATTTGGTTTGACTGTAAAAAACTAAATACTGCAAAAGATACCATTATTAAAAAACAACACACGAATCCCTTTGATAGCTTTATTCAAGACAATACTCTTTGTTGCTGGTGTAAAACGGAGCAGATCTGCATGTGGTGCAGCAAGTTTCACTATTTTCTACAAGGCATTCATGCAACATCAAATGAAATGTTTTTCTACTTTCTACAGTCATGATATCATTGTGCTCTGCTGTGTTTCATCCACCGTAATACTGCTGCCCTGCTGGTGACTCCTACTGTAGTGTACTAGAAAATAGCTTTAAACACTGGTCTGCGAAACAAGTTGCCATTTCAAGTGAATTATTCTCTAAACTCAGTTGAATGGAGTGATATTCCAGGGGGAATGAATGGCACTAGCACCGCTGAACTGAACTCTTTTTCCCTGGATCTGAATTGCTTGGTAATGGCACTGAAATTCTGAGAATGGAAACCCCTTAAGAACCGAACAGAGCATCATACTTTAATGTTGGCACAGATAAATAATGCATACGAACCCATTAAAGATAAAGGCACTTTTCTGGGTAAGAGTCTAGGTAAAGGCCTTAATAATTTGGAGCCTCAAACATATTCTCTCTACTGTGCACAATACAGCTATCAAGTTCCTCTGTTCACGGCCCTCAACCGGTTCTACAAGGGGATGAAATGCGTGGTGGACTGATCAGGTATCAGGAAGCGTTGAGTTGTCGGAGAGGATCATGGGAGATCCCAGCTGGAGCTCCTGCTGAAGTGACTCCATGTCAGCAGGGGTCATGCGGTGTACCTCGAGCCAATCAGAGAGCAGGGATGCAGACAGGGGGGCCAAGTCATTGTGACTAATGAAAGAGAATAGAGACCATTGAAACGCACGTTACAGTCGAGTACTGTAATTATCAGTGACGTACAGTTTAAAAATAGAGCGTGCACTTTGCGGTCGCCGGGATCTGAACTGACCTTTCCCTGAGGTCGGAGTGCTGGAGTTCGGTGAGAGACTGAGTGAGGAGGTCATCGAGGTCGAAGCCGACGCCGTATCCTGCTCCACTGCCTTTAGGAGTCACTGAGAAAACCGGCGGCAAAATGTCTTCAACCTGGCAGGAAAAATGATTGAGAGAAGAATGAAACAAATGAACAAGATCAAAATTAAAACATAATCTGATAAAAAATACAGAAATATGTTTTCCAAACGTAAGTCACAGAGCCCATATGTATGGAAGCTTGTTTGACTCATGAGTAAAAAAAAAAGGTAATTGCAATTTCATTTCTTTACTTTATGTCTCACAGTGTTAGCCTACTTTATTTTCATAATGACCTGTTTCTTCATTACCCTGAGTTAGAAACAGGCCTCCATGCATAACATCATTTGTGTCAGAAAATAAAACAGAAAGATAAAAAATAATGCCTGGCATGACCTCTAGGGGGCCACAGTTTTATTTTCAATTAATCTAACAATAAATTAATCAATCACTAAAAATAATACATAATAATGCCTTGCATGGCGTTTACGGTTTCTTTTTTTCCAAATAATCAAACAATCAATAAATACAAATAATATATAACAATAATATAAAAAACAATACCGATAATAATAATTTTGAATTAAAAAAAAATTTTTTTTTAAAAAAGTATTAAACGTGTTTCTCATCCAGCAACATTGGTGCTACACACATAAACTATAAAATAACTAAAATAAAATGTTCATGCTTACTTTAAATTTAGAGGTCACTGGAGATGATTTCCATTTTTATATCATGATTTAAATTAGGGCTGCACGATAATTGATTACAGAACCGGCTTTTCTGACAAGATGCGCGTTAAATATCGCATGCGATTTATCGTGCAGCCCTAATGTAAATGAATATTTTCAAGTGATTATAATTATTTTTGTACAATTAGACCCTCAGTTCTGGCTTGCAGTCAATGCTTACTTTATTTCTAGCTTATGCAACATTTTGGAGCAGAGCATGAGTAAAAAAAAACTTAACTATAGAAATTTCCATGACTTTTTAAAATTTATTTTTATATTTTCTGTTTTCACTTTTAGTTTCAATTTCAGTAATTGTGATGTTTTTGTCATTCGTTTTTTAAAGTTCTTCAAATTAAACTAAACGAAACTGAGAAATGCTGCCTTGGTAACGAGCCGAAATAGTTTTCTATATTTTATTTTCAGTTAACCCCAGCCTGCAAATATTTATTTTAAAATTCTCTAATTGTTCCAGGTTATCCTTGACCGCTATAACCCAATAACCCAAATAAATGTCTTAACCCAAATTCAAATTAAATGATAACAGGTTTTGCTTTTCTAAGCAAACAAACTTTCACCTGGAAGAAAATAATAATGCATAACAATAATAAAAAATACCATATGCTCATATTGGAAGAAGGCCAATCATGTACTATAAATAAAACGTTCACCTGTGACTTTGAGAGCTGCTGTGTGACTGTGTGGATGTCAGGGATGCAGTTTGCCGGCTGTCCCGTGTCAGTGAGACCAAGGCAGGGTTGAGCTGCAGCTCCCGGAGGCTGTGTTGAAGGGCCCTGTGCATGAGAGCCATTTTGTCGCTCCTCTAAAACACAAAGTTTGTCCAGGGCTTGAGGACCATTGCCGATTTCTGGATTGGAAAGAGACGTGCTGGTGTCCGAGACGCCAATGCTGGGGTTCAGAGCTGATGGTTTGGTCATAAAGGATTCCAGCGGCAGCAGATGGATGTGAGCGTTGGACTGCGACTGCGCATGCGTGACAGGCTTCGGCTGCGTTTGCATGTGCGCAAAGCCCGTGTGAGCGGGGTTATTCAGTTCAGGTGGAGGTTGGTGGGTTTTCTGGGGTTGGTGTGGAGTTGTTCCTGTCCAGTTCTCAAGACCGGTGAACATTGTTCCAACAGTCAGAAACTGAGGTTTTAATATGTTGTTTTTGGCAAAGGCACATGGGGCGGTTACCACACCAACTTCAGGTTTATAAGAGTATTAGTCGGTAGAAAAAAAAAAAAGGAAGTGTCAACTTAATATGCGAGTATAGGAAATTGAGATTTATACATCATCTGAAAGCTGAATAAATGAGCTTTCCATTGATGATTGGATAGAACAGAATAGGAAAATATTTGGCCGAGATACAACTATTTGAAAATTTGGAATCTGAGGGTTGGTGTGGAGTTGTTCCTGTCCAGTTCTCAAGACCGGTGAACATTGTTCCAACAGTCAGAAACTGAGGTTTTAATATGTTGTTTTTGGCAAAGGCACATGGGGCGGTTACCACACCAACACTTCCACCTCCCCCTACAGCAACTATCCCAACGTCTCCATTCTGAGCTGGACTTAAAGAGACGGGCTGTGCATCATGAGTCGGAGTTGGATGGAATATTCCAGCTGCCAAACACTGTCCCATTTGTGGTGGTTTGAAAGCCTGCACTTCGTTGGGTTGTTTTGGTGCCATTGATTCTCCCCCGTCTGAGTTTGTCTTTACGACTTTGCTTCCTTTTGCTGGCTGGATTTGGACCGTTTTACCCTCACCGGTCTTGGCACTATTGGTTTCCGCAGTCTGTGATTTGTCCACCCGGTTGTCCATCATTCGTCCCCAGCGCTCCAACAGCTTCTTATCGCTGTCGCTGAGTAACACGCCACCCAAAGATTCGCCTTGTTTTCCCTCCTTTTTCTCTTTCAGCTTCCTCTTCCGCTCCATCGCACGCTCCTGTCTCTTCCTCCGCTTCTCTTCCCTCTCTCGTTGTCTCTCCTGGGCCGTGACTGGCTTCTTCTGCTCTGGTCCAGAGTTGGAGGAGGAGAGGGATGAGGATAAACCTCCAGCAGATCCTCTGAGTAATTCGATACCAAAAGCTGCAGAGCCTCCATCTGGGGAAGAGAGAATCAGTACATTATTGACATGACAGTACTTGTCATTACTTGGAAATAACTGAGAAAAATTGGATAAACATAAAAAAAAAATATATATATATATATATATATATATATATATATATTACATACACACATATACAGTGTGTGTATATACACTGTAAAAAAAATCCGTAAAATTTACGGTAAAAAAACGGCAGCTGTGCTTGCCGGAATTTTACCGTAAAAAATACGGTAGCAACGTTTTAGGTTTTACGGT